ACTGTAATTCAATGGGATTTTTTAAAGGATTGTTACCTGGACTGTAACAATTTTTAAAAATCATGGCAGCTTTTCCTTTGACCTAACTAGTTTCAAGATTAATGGAAGGAGTATTCTTGCCCACTGCATTCCTGAATAAATTTCCACAGGATTTGTGTTACTGGAGTGTGACTTTTAAAAAACGCCTTTGTGGCCCAAACTGATGAAAAAGAGAAAGAAAGCCATGAATTGGAGGCAGACAAGTAGGTACAGAGCTCCGAATACACGGCATCTCCACATACGCCACAATTAGTATATTATGCATGTCCATGCACATTTCTAGTGTGGCAATATCACAGCTTTACATGCACTGAACAAAGGACAGAAGGAGGTGCAGAGGTGATCTATGCCTCCCCACCCCCCTAGTCTGCATTGGCACACGTCGAGCTGGAACAACTCCAAAGGAGAGAGATGGAGACTGGAGCAGCTTCTGGATGTCTTGCTTCCTGGGTCCGGTCTGGTCCAGTCCTCTCCATCCCCATCCCCATCCCCATCGAGTTTCCTGACCTCGGAGCAAAGCAGGGTCAGAGTTCTGATTCCAAGTTCCAAGCACAATATCTGACCTCAGATCTGCAATCCTATGATCACATAGGATCACAATCCTATGATCTCCCAGTGATGTCTAGGGCTCCACAGGACCATTCCCTTGTGTAACTGGACTGCTCCACTCCAGGATAATTTTAAAACACACTACCTGATGAGAACAGCCAATTCCCAGCTGTGCAATAGTCTGACTCACCACATCAGTTGAACAGTACTTTAGAAAATGCATACATGGTTCTGGTACAGTCCAGGCAAGCCCTGGTTAACAGTAATTCAAGGAGGTTGCGGGGCGGGGAAACTGTTCAGCAAGCTTTCTGGGTGAATCACACACCTCTCTCAGGCTCTATGACGTACATTATGCTGACTGCATATATTAGGTTTGAGCAAAGTGTCAGCCAGATTACCAAACTAGAATATCTTAATTTCCAATAAGAAAATCACACATATATTCCTGCCACTGCATGTATATGTAATTAACATATGCTTCAGGCATTGCACATGATGAGGTATGAGGCCTGAAAGTTGTGTAGGCTCCTAGGAGTTTAATGCTTCTATTCAACAAAACCTTTGTGGTGGGGGGGGGGGGGGCAAGGCAAGAGCTTGCTGGTATTAGTTTGCTTAAATCAAGCATACTGATGTCTTTTAATTTATTTACTCTTATTTTAGCATGAAATTCCATGTTTGTATAAAAATGGTGCAATAATTAATATGGAATTCTGGCAAAGCTTTCTGTCAGTAACATTCCCAGTGTGGCAAACTCAGTTCCAACAAAGAGACTGTGTTTTTTTCCCTACAAAACCAAGAAGAGGAGTGAAGCTTGCCCCCAGTATTCTTGATCTGCCTCTCCTTTGGCAAAGGCAAATGAAAGGTCCCAAGTTAGAAAGACAGGTGCCGATGTCAATAAAATGGATGCAGTCATGCCAGGATTGCTGCCTGAGTGGGATCACTTTTGTAGAATCTGACTGGGAGCATGTATTTATCACTATAAATTGAAAAAATAGTTGAAGATGAGTCAAACTATATGAGAAATTGAACATACGTACTGCAACCGGACCATAGTATGTTACCAAAATCTATCTTCTGGTATATAAACATATACTGTCATATATAACACACAAACATCAACTGCAAAACCAGTTTGGGGCTGAAAAAGGACAACATGAACAGCAAGTATTGTGAACAGCGTTATTCCATAGGATGAAGATTCTGCTTGGCATTCTGAACAGTGGTAGACATTAGTCCAACAGAATTGCATCTGGGGTCATACAGGCATAACGGACCCAAAGTTTCACAAAATCCTTCAGGTGTGAAAATGGTTTCTTTTTATTCATTTACTTGAGTATGAAAGGGATTTCCCTCATGTACATTATCAGAGATGAAATGCTGTGGTGTGAAACACTTAACACTTAATCAGATCACTTCTCATGATGCTAGGTCAGCATCTTCACAGATACAGTGGAATTGGTGTTGTGTGCGTTACATGGGCGGGTGGACTAGCATGGCACAGAAAACTGAAAACCCAGATAACTGCAACTGTAAATTGGAAAAATATCATCCAAACTAAGTGCAAATCATATTGATTACATGATTTTTGATGCCACTCAAGACAGAGGTCCCTTCCTAAGTCCCACAACTTTTCTAAAGCTTTCTGTTTCCTACCATTTTTAACTACTGCCTTTTGGTTTGCTTTGATTTGGTTTTTAACCATCCTCTCTGACTCAAAAATAATTTTTAAACAAATGCTTTTTAAGCATAGTCCCGCTTTTCCCAACTTTCATAGCTTTCTATTTCATAGTGAGGTATGTGATAATGGTTTTTTGGGTAGAGAACCTTCACAAATCACTGCAAAATAGTAAAAAGCCTAAACAGGAATAGTCCGATCTAATTACAGTTTAGCTAGATAGCTTGAGTTGCTAAGTGTGCCTTTTAAAGCTCCACATAAGTGGAAATTTCATCAGCTGCAGCCTTCTGTCTCACTGCAGTGCACAACATGCTGTCCTTTGGCTGCAGGCTTGTCTTCCTTCACATGCTTTCCTACTTTTATACTTTTGCCACAAACTACAAGAATCTAGCCACCTGCGTAACAGATTTCACTGCCCATCCCAAACTCATAACATTAACCTAAGCTATGTTTGAAAGCGCGTTATGTTTAATGCTGCTCATTCTAACAGGTCTGAAAAGTGGGTACCAGGTGGCTGGATTTCCACCCTCTGTAGGAGAATTCACATGAGATATTAACCCCTCCCACTCTGGGAATTTTACCTATATGGGCTTTGTAAAACTCCCCTCTGCAGGAACAGCTGGGGGTTGCATCCCCCCCTCCCCCAATATCCCAGGTGCCACTACAGGAATAACAGAGAGAACAAGATGAAAGCAGCCAAAAGTGTCACCTTCTTTCTTGCCCAGCATTCCTACCGATGCTGACAGAGCAGGTTTGCTCAGGAGCAATCCCACTTTGCCAGCATCAGGCAGAACGCCCAATAGAGACCTGGAACTGAAGGGAAGGGGCTGCCTTAGAGACCTCCCATACAGACCTCTTCTGCACTCATCCAGAATGATGCACCGCAGCTGAGAAGTGGGCCGGGCACACCTGCAGCACCTTCCACCAATACTCACTGGTGACACACCATGGCTGAATAGAGCAGAGGCTGCCTGTGCTCCTTGCCTGCAGTGGGCAAAGAGGCAGCGGGAGGAGGAGGTGGGAACAGAAGCAGAGAGAAAAATAGACTAGGGAGTACCTAAGTGTAAATTCTGTTTGAGATTTCCTATTTGTAAATCATCTCTTTTTCTTAAGGGTGGCATGTACGCACAGAAACCCGAGCTGACAGAGTAATGTTTTCATTTTTTTTAAGTCTGTAGTAAAGATGTTGTTCAAAATATTGTATATAAGATTTCAGTGATTCTTTGCACCGTTTTGAAAGCTGAAAAACTAATACTAAAAGATTGGAAAGAGAAACAGCCACTTTCAAGAAGATAATTAGTTAAAAATTTGAGGAAGTGTCTGATTTTTGAGTGCATTGTTTTTAGGTGTAATTTACCAATTGACAAATGTGTGAATATTAAGTCTGCCTTTGTTCAAGCCTGTGCATAAGTATATTGTTTGGATGAACCTTTTGGACCCATCCATCCAGCAGACTTCCTGTCGTGCTCAGCCTGGTCCTGAAAGCAAGGAAGACCAGAGAAAGCCTGCGAATGCTCACGGACCCTCAGCGGCACAACCAGTGATCTCCCCTGTGAAGAGAAAACTGCAGGGCGCGCAAACAGGATTGTTGCAAGTGGGTGCAGCAGGTACCCTTCCCAGCAACCCACCTTCTTCCACACTCGCTGCTACCACTAGCACAGTGGCTAGTGAGACACTGTGAAGCATAGACTATAAAAGTTATGAATGAATGCTAAGCACGCTCACCAGGAATATGGACTCTGGGCTGCTGGATCCCCACCTCCAAATGGATTTCTCACCCATCCCTACAAAAGCCTCCCTAGGAACTGCTGTATGTTTTGCTATACATAAAATGCAGGTGGGTACATAGTATATATCTATTCATTGTAACAGAGTTACTCAGTTGTAACAGCTTTTATTTTTCTTATTTTTTTGTTTTGTTTTTATTTGATTTTGCAAAGTCACTAAATTAAAACAAATCAAGGATAATGATGAAGTAGTCACAAGGAGAGGCTGGCATCAAGGCATATGAGTCATTTCTAGAAATTCAAGCCATTAGAGTAGTGGAAAGCAAATGACTTAGGTGACACTAGAAGATCTTCAATTAAATCAGCTGAAACCCAGGGAAAAGACAGGGACAGGGGGAAATTTGGAAGAACCTCTGAAACTAATCTACATCAGAAACATAATGATGCAACAGATGGGGAAAATAGTAAAATATGAATATGAGTACAGAGATGCTTTCTACAGCTTTATCTGAATATATGTGGAAATGTGGGGAAAATACACAGACCCTACTTTCTTGTAAGACAGTTTTCTCCAACTTGGGACCCTCATATGTTCTGGTCTAAAACTCCCATTGGCCATACTATTTAGGGATAGTAAGAATTGTACTGCAATGTATCTGAAATGAACCAAGTTAGAGAAATTGGTCCAATGATTGAGGTTTCTCTTCATGTTTTTCTAACAAGCCTTTTATAATAAAAGTATTTGAAATCCAGTATTAAGATTAGTTAGGTAAAAAGTTAATGTAATGTATAGATACCCTCTTTATTGCTTGTTACAGGAAGCCTCATGATTACTAAACAGGAAGAGAACAGTAGAAAGTTTGACACTTTTAATTAATGGGTGTATCTGCAATACTCATAGTGGGTTTCTATTCCAATCTGAAAACATCTAGGGAGTATCCCTCTGTTTTTAACTGCAGGTCCTAATGGAAGGGCTTGTGGTATTATACAGGACCCTATAACTCACTTACCTGCCCTGCACAGGAAGGAAGTTCAGCTCACCGTCCCACATGTCAATTCCTTAATTACTGAGTCTCCTGAACATAAATCATCATTCCCTGTACTGATATGAGTCATCCCTGAAAGAAAATATGCAACAGAAAAGTCTTGAGTCATTTTATGTCAATAAAGTTTGTATATGTGCTTAAAAGAAAATGTGAGAATACAATTCAAATATACATATCTCTCTCTGAAATACTTTTTTTTTCACACCAACCCTAAATGTAAACATCAAACAGTGTAGTAACACCATTTTGAAATAATGTGAAGCTTTGATACACCATTTTGATTATCAAAATTATGGTCAATGTTAGAGAAAAACAAATCCCAAAAATATTAAATGTCATAGATAAGGACCCCATTAATTAAAATGAATTTTCAAAAAACAACAGTAAAATTAAACTACACTTTTCTTTCTCATAGGTTACTACACACACATATGAAATACCAGAATGTGTTTTGGATCATACAGCATTTATATTTTGAGTTAGTTCAGGGCCACGCAAGAAGGTGTTTTTGCACTGGTATTTCAACCTCCATATATTGTTTTCAACCTCTGTATAACTTTCAGCAAATTTACACTATCTGAAAAGCAGATTTGCCTTTCATTCAGCACTGTTCCTCAAAAACGGTGTACCATCCAGACTACACATTGCCTAAAAGAAACCATAGCAACCTTTAAAGCTGGTAAAGACTCACTTGTGAGGGCAATGTGAACATTTAGTCCATTGCAAAACCCCCAGAAGGAGTCGGCCTGTACTAATTTCCTTTTTCACTTGCAAAGTTTATGATGGAACAATATTAAACATGCTTACAAGAGAGCAAGCCTCACTGAGCACAGTGGGACTTACTTCTGAGTAAGCATGCAAAGGATTACAAAGCTTGGGTGTTTGGTAGCATGGTCCTGAGAAAAATGTGCTATGCTTAGAGGAAATGGCAATCTACAAAACAGAATGAAATCTGAAAAAGGGGCTTAAGATTTTATCATTTACAGCATGAACATGAATAATGAGCCTGTTTTCTTAGGGATGGTGTGGGTAGAATAGATATGGGAATTGGAGGGAATTTGATGAGTAGGAGATGTTTTCTGCCTTGTCCAAATATTCTTACACAATGTTTTATGTAACAGTGACTGTGGATTCTCCAGACAAAGATATAAGTATTTTTACAGGCCCTACTGTAATCAGCTTTGTGAGCCTATAAAGCTTCAAAAGGTCAGGACAGATGTACATTTTTAAGACCTACTTTTCAGTGCTACATTGAATCACAAGATAAGGACTTTTACAAGTATGCACCCTAATTTCTGCCCAAGATGCAATAAGCGGCAGTGACAAGGTCCTTATCATATCTTGTTCTACAAGTGCCCATAGAGCAAGAATTCCCATCATGAGTTTCTATAGTCCTGCATTAACTGTAAGAAAGCTCTTTGAAGTTCTCGATATCAAAGTCTAGATGGGAAATTTTACAGTAGGACAGACAACACATTTCTGTCTCACTCCAAATAATGACAATCCAGCTGTTAGAAGAAGCAACAGCAATACAAAGTAGGAACAAAATATTAGACTCAACTTAAAGCACACATTTAGAACTAAGCAGATAAAATCAAGAATGCACAGGCAATGCTAAGCATATTAATTTGTTTCATTACTGCAAACATAAATCTGATTATTTTTCCATATTTCCCATAGCTGCTTCACAGGGAGATACTTTGCCCATTACTGTTGGTTTGCAGTTCTTCAGGCAAAGGTTCCTTACAGTCCAACTATATGAGGACATTACCAAAAAATATCAAGAATTGAACCAGGGATATTCTGCAACCAAAGTTTATGTTCTACTTACTCCAAGCCCAGAAAAATGAATGCATGTATCTACTTCATACATTGCAGAATTTAAACAAGTACATGATAAATCTTTAAATGTTTGTGTAATTAAGTATAATTACAAAAAGCAGCCCTCAATGGGCATGGTTACAGCCAGAACCGAAAAAATCCTAGACATTTGGTAAGTTGGTGTCTAAAACTTTGAACTTGCTCCTTATCAATTTGAATTGTTTTTTAGGCTCTACGGTAGTCGGCCAGGAAGAACTCTTGCACTCATCCTGCAGCATGTGAGATCCTGTGAGCAGCTGGTTTGCCACCATTCATACAGAGTGCTGGGCTAGATGTACCTTGGGTCTGATCCAGCATGGCTTTTCTTATGTTCTTATCCATGGTGTCATTCTGGGTCTGCCAGTTCCATTGTGCTCCCAGGACCCACTGCTTACACAGCTGGGCATTTGCAGTTCTAAAAAAAACCCTGGAAACTAGCAGAAATGCTGGTTTTTGGATCTGGACGGGCCAGTGGAGTGTCCTGCTGTAAGCTTCCACCAACTTGCCTTTATCCTGAAATGAGCATTTCTGTTTATTTGGATTAAGTTTAAAGCTGCAAGTGCCTGGCTGCACAAACGGAGGGCTTCCCAAGCGCATGGGACAATAAACTATTACCCTAAGGGAAATGTTACATTTCACAATGACTCACATTGAGCCTACAAATCTGACTCTTTGAAACATGGAAAGTGTGTGTGTGTGTGTGTGTGTGTGTGTGTGTGTGTGTGTGAGAGAGAGAGA